GAGGTTGAGCACCTTTTTCTATGCATGTATGCTCTCTATATATCTGCTTTTAAGTAATACCTAAAGAACAGGCACAGTGGCTCATGCCTGTAATCACAGTATTTTGGGAAGCTAACGTGAGCTGACCACATGAGGTCAGGAGTTCAAGACCAGCCGGGCCAAAATGATGAAACCTCGTTACTACTGAAAATACAAAAATTAGCTGGGCATTATGGCAGGTGTCTGCAATCTCAGCTACTCAGGAGGTTGAGGCAAGATAATCACTTGAACCCAGGAAGCGGAGGCTGCAGTGAGCTGCACCACTGCACTCCAGCCTTGTGGACAAAAAAAGATTGTCATTTAAAAAAAAAAAAAAAAAAGAAAAGTTTATTTAAATTTTGTACCAATCTTTTGATCAATTTTTTTTTTTTTTTTTTTGCATAGAATTGATAGAATTGTTTGAGCTCTTTATATTTTCTGGTTATTAGTTTTTCTGTCAGATGGGTAGTTTAAAAATATTTTCTCCCATTTTGTGGGTTATCTCTTCAATTTATTGATTGTATCCTTTGGTATAAAGCTTTTTAACTTGGGACTCCATTTGTCCTTTTTTTTTTTTCTAGAATTGCTTGAGCTTGTGGGGTATAGCTCAAGAGCTGTTTGCCCAGACCAATATCCTAGAGAAATTCCCAAATGTTTTCTTATGCTAGTTTCATAGGTTTACTTCTTATACTTAAGGTTTTAATCCATTTTATTTTGATTTCTTCTTATGGCAAGAGATATGAGACTAGTTTTATTCGTTTGTATGTGCATATCCAGTTTCTCAGCACTACTGGTTTAAGAGACTTCATTTTCCCCAATGCATGTTTTGGCACCTTAGTTGAAAATTAGTAGGTATGAAGATTTGTTTTTCCAGTCTGCATTTTGTTCCATTGGTTTATGTGTCCATGTTTATACCAGTGCAATGGTGTTCTAGCTAGTATAATTCTGTAGCATAATTTAAAGTCAGGTAATGCTATTCCTCCAGTTTTGTTCTTTCGGCTTAGGATGTCTTTGGTTATTCTGGGTCTTTGTAGTTCCAAATAAATTTTTGGATTTTTAAGGTTTTACTCCTTTGAAAAATGTTATAGGTATTTTTACAGGGATTGCATTAACTATATTGCTTTGGGTAGTATGAAGATTTTAACAATATTAATTCTTCCAAACAATGCACATGGAATATTTTTCCATTGTTTGTGTCCTTTTCTATTTTTTTTTTTAAATCAATGTTTTGGACTTTTTATTGTAGAGATATTCTGCAACTCTGGGAAAGTTAATTCCTAGGTATCTAATTTTATGTGTGGCTATTGTAAATGGGATTACTTTTTATTTCTTTTTGACCTTGTTCATTGTTGGCATATAGAAATGCTACTGATTTTGCATGTTGATTTTGTATTCAGCAACTTTACTGAATTTGTTTACCATTTCTCATAGTTTACTTGTCAAGTGTTTAGGTTTTACTACATATAAAATCACATGATCAGAAAACAAAAATAATTTGATGTTCTTCTCTTCTCTCATTGCTCAAGCTAAAACTGACAATACTGTTTTGAATAACAGTTGTAACAGTGGACGTTCTTGTCATGTCCCGGATCTTAGAGGAAAGGCTTTCAGCTTTTCCTTATTCAGTATAATACAAGCTGTGGGTCTGTCATATATGGCTTTTATGTTGAGGTATGTTCCTTCAATCTCCAATGTCTTTGAGGGTTTTTAATCATGAAGATATTTATTTTATAAAATGCTTCTTTAGTATCAATTGAAATGATCATATGCTTTTTATTCTTTACTCTGTTGATATGATGTATCATGTTGATTGATTTGTGTATGTGGAGCTATCCTTGCATCACTGGAATAAATCCCACTTGGTCTTGACAAACGATCTTTCTAATATATCGTTGTATTTGGTTTCCTAGTGTTTTGTTGAGAATTTTTGCATCAATATCTGTTAGAGGTATTGCCCCATGGTTTTCTATTTTTGATGTGTCATCATCTGCTTTTGTGTTAGGGTAATACTAGTGTTGAGGAGTTAAGTTTGAAAGTATTTCTTTCTTCTCTATTTTTCAGAATAGTGTGAATAGAATTGGTATTAGTTCCTCATTAAATATTCAGTGAAATTTAGCAGTGAAGCTACCAGGACCCGAGCTGTTTTTACTGGAATAATTTTTTTTTATTATGCCTTCAATCACGTCATTTATTATTAGTCCATTTAGATTTCAAATTTCTTACTAAGTCAATATTGTTAACTTTGAATGTATCTAGCAATTTGTCAATTTCTTCTAGATTTTTGAATTTGACATCTACTTGCTTATACTACCCACTAATTGTCCTCTGAATTTCTACAGTATCAGTTGTAATGCTTTCTTTTATATATAGCTTGCACTATTTACTTTGCACTCTTTTTTCCTTAGTCTGACTAAAGGTTTTTCAATCTTAAACTAAAAACTTTGTATTTATCTTTTTTTATTGCTTTCTATTTTCATTTCATTTATTTCTGCTCTAATCTTTATTACTTTATTTTTTCTTCTAATTTTGGGTTGGATTTGCTATTGCTTTTCTAGTATTTCAAGATGCATCCATGTTTATTTGAAGTGTTTTCTTTTTTTTTTTATGTAGGCGTTTATAGGTATCAACTTTCCTCTGAGTACTGCTTTTGCTGTATCTCGCAGGGTTTTGGTACATTATGTTTTCATTATCATTTGTTTCAAAAAAGTTTTAAATTTTCTTCTGAATCTCTTCACTGACCCATTTGTCATTTAGAAGCATATTATTTAATGTTCACTTATTTGTATAGGTTCAAAAAATTATGTTATTAATTTCTAGTTTTATTCCATTGATGAGAAGATGATTTATATAATTTCAATTTTTTAAAATGTTTTGAGACTTGATTGGCTACCTAAAGTATGACCTATCCTTGAGAATGATCCATGTGCTGAGTAACAGGATGTATATTCTGAAGTTCTTAGATAAAATTATCTGTAAGTAACTATTAAATTTATTTGGTCTATGGTGGAGATTAATTCTGATTTTTTCTTTTTTGTTGATTTTCTATCTTAAAAATCTGTCTAATCCTAACAGTGGGGGCTGAAGTCTCCAGCTATTATTGTATTGGACCCTATTTCTCTCTGTGGCTCTATAGGCATTACATATCTCTTTGCTCCAGTGTTGGGTTCATATATCTTTAAAATTATTATATCTTCTTGCTGAACTTACTCCTTTATCATTATTTATTATCATATAGTGAGCTTTTTGTCTCTTATAGTTTGGTCTTGAAATTTATTTTGTCTTGTAAAAGTAAAGTGATTCTTGGTCCTTTTTTTTTTTCCAATGACATGAAATATATTTTTACATCACTTTATTTTCAGGCTACGTGTATTTTTATAGGCCAAGTATATTTCTTATAGGCAACTGGCCAGTGTATCTTATTTTTTCACACAATCAACCAGTCTATTTTAATTGGAGAGTTGAGTCAACTTACATTCAGCGATATTATTGATTAGTATGGACTTACCCCTGCCATTTTGTGGTTTGTTTTCTGGGGTTCTTTTGTGGTCTTTTTCTCCTTCTTTCTTTTATTGCTTTCTCTAGTGAAGATAAGTTTCTCTGGTGATATGATTTCATTTTCTGCTTTTAATTTGTTGCATTTTTTTTCTATTTTTTTGTTTGAGGTTACCATGAGACTTGCAAATGCTACCATCTTATAGCCCATTATTTTAACCTGATAACACTATTTGCATACACTAACAAGCAAAAATAAAACTAATAAAAACTCACCTTAACTCCACCTTCTACCTTTTTTACTTTTTGTTATTTCTATTTATATTTTACTCTATCTTGAAATATTGTTGTGATTATTATTTTGATTTTTTTATTTTTTAGTTTTTCTACTTAGAATAAGAGTAGTTTACACACTATAGTTAGAAAGTTATTATATTCTGTGTTTTCCTACATAACTATTTTTATGCATGAGTTTTGTACCTTCAGGTGATTACTGATTGCTGATTAACACTTCTTTCTTTCTGACTGAAGTACTACCTTTAGCTTTTCTTGTAGAATGCATCTAGTATTCATGAAATTCTATAGCTTTTGTTTCCTGAAAAAGTCTTTAAATCTTCTTTATATGTAAAAGATATTTTCACCAGCTATACTATTCTAGGGTAAAAGTGGATTCATTTGTCCTTTTTTTTCTTTCAGCACTTCAAACATGTCATGCCATTCTTTCTAGTTCTACGCAGTTTCCAGTAACAAATCTGTTGCTGGACATGTTGCAGCACCACTGTAGGTTTTTTTGTTTTGCTTTTTTTTTTTCTTCTCTGTTGCTGCTTTTAGGATCCTTTATCCTTGATCTTTAGGACTTTGATTATTAAATTCCCTGAGGTAGTCTTATTTGGGTTAAGTCGGCTTGGTGTCTATAACCTTCTTGTATTTGGATGTTGATTTCTTCCTGTAGGTTTGCAACAGTTTTCTGTTATTATTCCCTTTGCATAAACTTTCTACTCCTATCGTTTTTTCTACATCCTCTTTAAGGCCAAGAACTCCAGAGGCTACTTTCTAGATGCTGTAGGCATGCTTTATGATTTCCTATTTTTTTTTTTCTCTAACTGTATGTTTTCTGTTAGCCTGTCTTCAAGTTCACTAAGTCTTTCTTCTGTTTCATCCATTATATTAATACATCTCTGCTGTATTTTTCTGTATGCCAATTTTATTTTTTAGCTCTGGAATTTCTGCTTAATTATTTTAATACCTCGTTAATCTCACAGAATTCTGAATTTATTATCTGTGTTATCTCAAATTTCTTTGTTTCAACACTGGTCTTTGAATTCTGTCTGAAATGTCACGTATTTCTGTTCCTCCAGGATTGATCCCTGGTACCTTATTGATTTCATTTAGTGGGGCCACATTTTCCTGAATGGTATTGATTCTATTAGATGTTCTAAGGCGTCTGGGTATTGAAAAGTTAGGTATCTATCGCACTCTTTATTATCTGAGCTTATTTAGAGTCTTTTTTTTTTTTTTTTTTTTTTTTTTTGGAAAAGCCTTTCCAGGTATTGGAAAAGACTTGGACGTTGTGATCTAAGCTGTGCCTGCTTTAGGAAGTACCACAAGCCCCAAAACTCCATGGTTCTTCTGGAGTCGTAGAGGTACTGCCTTGACAGTCTTGGACAGAATCTGGAAGAGTTATCTGGATTACCAGGCAGACACTTTTGTTCTCTTTCCTTACTTTCTCCCAAACATACAGAGTCTCTTTCTATGTTCTGAGTCATCTAAAACTAGTTATGGAGTGACACAAGTACTCCTGTGGCCACTACCCCTGTGATTATGCTGGGTCAGAACTGAAGCCAGCACAATGCTGGGTCTCACCCAAGGCCTGCTATAACCAATCCCTGGTTACTGCCTATGTTAATTCAAGGGCGTGGGGCTCTACAATTAGCAGGTAGCAAAGGCAGGCCTTTGTTCTTCCATTTAGGGCAGTGAGGTCCCCTAGATCCCATGTGTGTCAGAAGTGCCATCTTAGAGTCAGGGCTGGATTCAAAAACCTTAGAAGTCTAGTTGGTACTCTACGATATTGAGGCGAGCTGCCACCCAAACCATAAGCTGCAGTTCTTCCCACTCTTCCCTCTACTTTCCAAAGGCAGATAATTCTTATCCCATAGTTACCACTACTACCCCTGGCCAAAACGAGTACTGCCAGACTACCACAGATGTTTTCTTAAGGCCTGACGTCTTTTAGGTTAGCTTTTGGTAAATGCTGCCTGACCTGGGATTCACCCTTCAGGGCAGTGGGCTTCTTCCTGGGAAGAAGGTCCACAAATGCCATCCAAGAGTCAAGTCTTGGAATCAGGGATTTTAAGAGCTCATTTTGTGCCTAGCCCCTGTGGCAGTGTTGGTACCTAAACTGCAAGAAGACAAAGTCCCCTTTAAGTTTCTCTCCAGTTTTGTAGAGTAGAAGTTGTTTTGCTCCATTGCCACTACGGTTGGTTATGTGCTACATTTCTCCTGAAGCCAGCAAATCTCAGAGTGTCACCAAGGCCCTTAATGTAATACCTGGGTAACACTGCTGTTTATTCAGAGCCCAAGGTTTCTTCAGTTAGCAGGCAACAAATGTTGACTGGACTGAGTCCTTTCCTTCAAGGCATCAGTTTCCCTTCTGGCCCAGGGTGTGTCAAGAAATGCCATCTGGGAGCTAAGACCAAAAATGGCAGCCTCAAAACTGTGTACGGTACCTTAACCTGCTGTGGCTGAACAGTGTGTAGATGCAAAATAAAGTCCTTTGTACCCTTTCATGTCCTCCCCATAAGTGGAGGAAAGCAGCCTTTTTTGGAGCCATGAGCTAAGAAGCTTAGGGTTAGCACAGAGGTGATGTCAGGGCTCCCTTTTCTGCCTTGGCTGGTGCCCCTTGTTCCACTCAAGTCCACTGTTTCTGGGCCTACTTCAGCAACAGAACTTAAGAGATGCAGTGGCTTAGAATACTATTCAAGTTTACTTAGATTTCAAGAGCATTTTGGCCCTCTATGGAGAGGTTTGTGGGCACTCAAGTTCAGACCACTAGCACTGGAAATTCCCTGTAGCTAGGGATAGTTTCAATGCTCCTTCTGTGGGTGGGCATCAGCTGAGTTTGTTCTGGTTTTCTTCTCTCCTTTAATAGGACAGCACTGAGTTCACTGCCTTGAGATTGCTCTGTTCTTTCTACACCAGTGCCCACATATGCTTTCTGCCTACACAGTTGGTACCAAGGATCAGGGAGAGGTGGCCTTGGGGAATCAGGGCTGGTATTATTGTTGTTTGTTTGTTTTTTGTTTTTGTTTCAAATCTTCAGTGCCTCTTTCAGTGATACGAAGTTAAAATTAGTTACTGTGAGTGATCACCTGATTTTTGGTTCTTATGAAGGTGTGTGTTTTCTTTGTTTTTCTTTTCTGTGCAGATAATCGGTAACTTGATGTTCCTGGGGTGAGGTGGAGGGCTGCAATCAGTTAAGATTTCTATTCTACCATTTTGTTTCTTTTCTCTCCAAATTTTTATTTATTCATTGAACTTTAAATTTTGTATATGCATAGTTTTCCAATATTTTTATTTGTTCCTGCATTTTTGGGGTTTCTTTTGCATCTGAGGAGTGTTTTATAATAATTGTGTTTAATTCTATTTCAGGAAATTCACATGCATTCCTTTATGTAACTTTTAAAAAGATGTATTAGTATTCTTTATTAGTTTTATTAATATTCTTTATCTCTGTTTCCATTGAGTCTTACAAACTGGTGTAGGTTTGAAGTTTTCCTCCAATAGGCTTTTGTGCTGAAGATATTGCCTTTGAGATTACAGTTCTGTGAGTTTTAAGTAGGTCTCCTGGCTGAACTTGGTACACAATACAAACTGAATTTTATAGTCTAGTTACCAGGAGAACTAATAGTCTGGAGTTCTATCTGTATCCTGGGTAGATCTGTCTGTCTCCAAGGTCCTGGACTTCAGGCCTGGCACTAAGACAAATATTTTCTTCACAACTTGCAAACAGTGGGGTTTTCAGCACTTGTGCTGAAATGTGTGGCTATCTATGGTAGTTGGGAGAACTACTGTTATGTACAGACAGGTCCCTGGGCCTCTCATATTGCTTCATTCTTTTGCTGAGACACGCTAGAATTGAGACACAATGTTATGTCATCCAAGACTAAAATATCTAAACCTTCCTCTGGCGTCAAAATTAAGATATGTCCTGCTGTGTTTTGGAGTTACCACTCCTGCTCTGAGTCTGTGGCAGAGACTATTTACGCACTTGTTTCAAAATTCACAGTGGATCCAAAGTGAGGGTATCCATCTGTAGGACACTGCTGGACCTGATTCTCTCATGGACCCATAGTAGGCAAAATATCTCATGTATCTGCAAACAACAAAAATCAATAGTAAGATCTGTATATATTAGAGGACCTACTAAAAGTCATAACTGAACAAGAGTTTGTTAAGAATTCCCATGTGTTGTTTCTTTGGTTTTAAATTTTCCCAGACTATAGCGGGAGCTGAAATTGAGATTAAGGTAAAAAACAAAAACTATTTTTGGTGGCTTTTTTGATGTAACACTAAGAAAAATTTCTTTTGCAGGCAAAATTGCTCACAAATGCAAGTTCAGAGATGCTTGTGTCAATCTAATCAATCACCTTCCAGAATATTCTTTGGCTTAAGGACTTCAAGACTATCTAGTTGTAACTTATAATTCTCTATCGATACAGTGTAAATCTGGGACTTTGGCAGTGAAGTTGACACAGTCTCATCAGTAACTGCTGACAGATAGAAGCAGGCAAACTTGTCTGGGTTTACTGCTTAGTTCGCTGCACAGGCATAGAAACTCTGCCTACCACAGAGTGGATCTGCTCTTGAATAGAGAGAAGCAAGCCAATCCTGGTGGCACAGATAGATGAGTTCTCTTTAGGCTCCTCAGGGGAGAAAAAATAACCTGAAACCATGCCTTAAAAAGGAGAGTATCCATTTTATAAGATAACATTAGGGTCCACTGCCAAGACAAGGGTCAGCAGGCAGACTTCATTCTGTTTAGGCTCTACTGCACATGATTCTTCTGCATCTTATAAAAGACAGTTTTGTGATCAGGCTCCAGGAATACATGTGAATTTAACCCAGCCAAAGGGACCAGTCCTGAGTCTAAATTAAAGAAAACAAATGACTTGTCTGCCATAGGAATGTTTATTTGCAGTCTCAAAAATCATAATTTTTGGGCTACACCAGCATTTTACAGATCTCATAGCTGAATCCCAATTATTTTATCAAGAAATAAAGAAACTTATGTCTGTGAATGGGTGCAGAATTCTTGCGTTTTAAAGGGATACAGAATGGTGACCTCATATTTCACTATCTTGCTTTCATCATCCTCAATCTTATATTTTTAACAGCTAAAATGTTATTGTACAATGAACACGAAGGTTTGCCATTTTACTTAATATAAAAACTATTCACTCTGCACCATGTTTGACAATCAGCTATTTCTATGTGTGTGAGGGTGTATGTTTGCATAGGGGTGTGATTGATGTACAGTGGTGAGAAGCAAAAGATAAATCAAAGCCCTATGAAATCATTATGTCCTTTGAAACACTTTTAAGTTAAAACAGCTATATTGTGATTAGTAATGTTCTAAGCAGCAGTGCAAAGACATGAGAGCTTTATACATTATCTTGTAACTCTCCATAAATAAATAGCATGGGGCTGTTCCAATGTGATTTTATTTCTGATATTTTCACCTTTTTTTCTTAAGTTGACGCTGTCTTTTCTGAGTTTTCTTACTTAACTTTTAGTTGTTTTTCCCAATGTTTTCTCCTCTTCACAAAGTGTCCACCCTGTAAGCATATGACTTTAATCTCACCACTCCTACCTCCTTCCAGTGATACATATGTGGTAAAATTTCATCTCTGCCTAAGTGTCTTTATACAAAACATGACACCATTTCTTAGGTCCTCTGTCCCAGCTCACCCGTGATTTCCCGTGTTTCTTCCTTCTAGCTCTGAACAATATATTGTATTTCTTCCATTACTGCCAATCTGATATAGAAAAAAACTAATAAATAAGTCAAAAACAACCTCTGTGTACCGTCTCTTAAGTTGTTTAATTTTTGTAACTGCAGACTGAGAGCTGTTAGCTCAAATTTTACTGGCACAGAGACAAAATTTTGCACATCCAGCTATTTTTAAATGAGCTTCAATGAGTAGAGTGTAGATATTAGATTTTCTTGGTGTACAAATTCGTAAACTTTGCTCAGCATTTGTTGAATATTAAATAAATGCTTTTATTGTATGATGCTAAGCCAGAATTGAAAGTAGAGCTTTTAAAACTTAATTTCTGGGAGAGTTTTGAAGCACCATCACAGAGACATACTTCTTAAACTCTTATCCAGAAATAACCTTACTTAAGTCAGTTTTACTGAACTGAAAAATCTGCACCTTAATACTGTATACAATCTTAATTTGTGAGGGTCTTTATTACACAAAATTTCACAATAAAGACTACTGTGTGGTACTTACAGTCATAATGAAATTGTTTTTCTTTACTACTTCTCATATTATTTATTCTTCAAGAATCATTCTATCTGTGATAGCTAACAGGTGCATTACCACATTCAAATATTCACATATCATGTTATTTTTAAAAGCCAAAATGATACCTTTTCAGCATTTATAATTTTCTTGGTTATTTTAACCACCCCCCCCAGCTTTATTCAGGAGCTATTAAACATTGATAAGACAGAGTATTGTTGCTATATGCTTTCAAGTGCAATTTCTCTTGAAATTTTCTCACCTAGAGTTTCCATGGTAAGTTGCTGAGAGGTATCACCTAGACATTTAAGTGCATTATTGGATACACTCCACTGAAGAGTTGTCTTTCCCTTCTCCCCATCTTTATCATGGTTCCTGCTACAGGAAGGAGAAAGAGAGAAGAAAACACAATAAAGATACAAAGAGAAAAACTCATGATACCAAGACTTGCTGTGAGAGCTGCGCTTCTCAATTCTCCCTCAGGAGTTCTCTTCTCCTAGATCAGAAGGGACCCATCATAGAATCTTTGTGTTCCATGTCATTATTGGGAAATTCTAAGCAATGAGTTAGCAGAACAAGGACTATGGGTGGGCTGTCTGCTAACAGTTTGTTAGTCAAGTTTGAGTTAGAAGGAACATCAGAAGACTAAACTGGGCTATGATGACGGCCACAGAGCGTTGGAACCTTCTGCCACAAAAACATGAGTAGGACTTATGCCTTAAGATCTCAGATGCCAAAACAAGGCTGACCTGGTGAGTCTCAGGATGAGAAAAATTATGGACCATGGGATGCCAGAGCACTATTCCTTGTGAGGCACAGGAGGGCACTGTGTGGGACTGGCTCAACTCACTTTTCTTCCTTCTGCTCAAGAAGAAAAAAAAAAAAAAAAAAAAAAAGGAAGAAGTTTAAAGATGAAGACAAGGGAGAACACCTGGATTAAGTTAGAAGGCGTAGTGCCTTGGTCACAGCCAAAACCAAAGTTAGCCCAGTGGAACTTGCTGTGCTCCAGGCTTCTGGCCACCAGCCTGTCCCTGGTCCATTGGTGTTCCCAAGAAGTCAATATCCTGACCTTCTAAAGCACAGTAAGGAAGTAGAATCCCTATCTTTATAGTCAGGTCCAGCCCAAGTATGACCAGATATCAATATGAAGCTTTTATCTTCAGACTTTTCTTTCAGAGTAGCGCTAAGGCGCTATTGTTGAGGTGGTTGTTCTGAGAATGAGCAACAGAGTAGCTAGCTCACTGGCCCTTTGAGGATGTAGCAGCTTCTACTAAGTTAATCAAGATAATGCCTAGAACAGAGATGGGTAAGTGATGACCTGAAATTTATTCAAGAGGGAAGAAAGCTTCAAGGACAGTAGCCCTGACCCTCTGAGAATTCCTGAAAGCTTGGAATTTTGGCAGCCAAGCAGAAATGGGTCTAATCAGTTCCAGGACAGGACACAGCATGTCCTGAGCAATGCTAAATCTTAAATGCTTGTGGTCTACCCACTATTCCACAACCTCTTCTACAGGCCAAAGCAGAAAGGTAACCTGCTTCTTTGTTTTGACTGTGCTCTTCTCCGGCTTCTCAGGCCAACCTTGACAGACAGTTTCAGGCATAGGTCAGGTTACAGAATCATTTCCACATAGAAGTCCTTACCCTATATCCACCAGACTGGGGCCTACAGGAGCAAGCATTACTGGCTATTGAATACACAAAAAGGCTGCATATATCTTTGGCTTTCACTCCCTGCATGCGTTGAATCCCTTCAGCCTTTAGGATTCATAAAAGCGAGATCCTACAGTTTTCGTGTCCTGGGTTCTTAAAGTTGTTCCATCTTTCTTCCAGCTGTGAAATGGTCCCTCTGCCAAAAGAATGTTCTAACAAATTTTTTCTTCCACCACCATCCTTGCACGTGTAAAACTTTATTCTGCCTGTCAGTCCTAAAATCTGACTTTACTACCAAAGGCTCTTTTGTCTATAAAGACTTCTTAATGTGTATCTTCCTGCAATATCAGACACTGGCCATTCTTACCCTTGCCTTAAGATGCAAATTAAAGACTGTTGTGTCAGCTTTTCCTGATACAGCTTTAATCTCCACATGAGCAGGCCTGCTTTTTCAATGAATGACATTTTCTCCAGACCATAGGGAATTACCAGGTGAACAAACCTCCCTTTGCTTCTGTGACCTATCTCACAAACTGTGTTTGTAATCAAGAGCTCATGATGCTAAATTAAATTTCTTGTCTTGTACTTGTCTTTAGGGATCTCAGAGAATGGTAAACCACTTTCTGTAATTATGGAGTTCTTTAAAAAGAAAGAAATACAAAATGAAACAAAAGAAACAAGGACACATCTTAGAATACTCTTTTTTAGCATATATGGGCAGGAATTAGACAACAAATGACTTCAGAAGTCTTGCTGCCCATCTGGGTCCACTGCTTGGGTCCACTCAGGTTATACTCTCAGTCTTGCTGCAGTGACTTCATGTCCTATGAAAGCCTGACCCATGACCACTCTGCTCTGAGGTCTTGAGCTGCTTTCAAAAAAAAAAAAAAAAAGACATTCTGGTGGAATAAATATTAAATGTTATGCCTACCAAATACGTTGACCTGGAGTTTGACTGTACACACCTATGACCAAAAAAGGCTAGAAGGGTCATGAGTCTGGGTGTCTGGGTTTTCTACTCTCAGACCAAACAACCCTAATCTTACAGAATTTGTTCAGAAGCAGCGAGGCCTAGCTGTATGATTCAAGTGAGTATATAATAAGAGAAGTTGGGGACTCTAGAGAAGGGAATGGTGGAGGCATATTATCCCTTTGCAGGCAGCAGGTTATTTTGGGGTGGTTGCCAGCATCCTTCCAGGATGCCCACCAAGCTGGGCAATTGAACAAGGCAGAACCAGCAGATCTGTTGTCTATTTCATAAAGGCTATACCTGGATAGAAAAGAGAGGCAAGGTCTGAAAAGAGACTTGTCCAGATAATATCTTGGTCATCTGCGGTAGAAAGCTGCTGGGGCAAATGTCAAAGGTACGTGTAGGACCCTGTCACAGTGGCTACCTACCAGGTCTTCATTCCTATAAACATAATACTTTTCAATACAGTCATGTGCCAAATGACTAAGTTCAATGATTGGAATATATACAATGGTGGTCTCATAAGATTATAATGCAACTGAAAAATTCCTATTGTTTAGTGATGCCATAGCGGCTCTGAGGTAGCATAGCATCCCTCAAGTTTTTGTGGTGACACTGGTGTAAACAACCGATTGCACTGCCAATTGTGTGAGTCTAGCACACATATTACATACATACCATATATAATTCTTGATAATGATAACAACCATCCATGTACTGGTATGTACTCTACTGACTATACTGTATTTTCACTATTATTTAGCATATGCTCCTACTCTTTACAAAAAACAACAACAACAACAACAACAACAACAAAAAACTAAGTATAAGACATAATAGGAGATATTCCAGAACAGAAAATATTTCAGTAGGAGGCATTGTTAACATAGGAGGTGACCCCTCCATGTGTGTTACTGCCCTGTAGACATTCAGTGGAACAAGATGTGGAGGGAGTGATGATAATATTGAAGACCCTGTCTCTGCATAATACTAGGCTAATGTGTGTGCTCGTGCTTTACATTTTTAAAAATGATTTAAATGGAAAAAATTAAGTAACCATTATAAGAGCAGATATAAGCTCATATTATTGAATATAAAATTAATGTTTATTCATCTGTACAACATATTTGTTTTAACCTACATTTCATTTAAAGAGGGTCAAGGCTGGGCATGGTGGCTCACGCCCACAGTCCCAGCAGTTTGGGAGGTTGAGTTGAGGAATGCTTGTGCATAGGTGTTCAAGAACACTTTGGGAACCAGGACGGGGTCCTATTACTACAAAAAATACAATAATTAGCCAATATGTGACTGTAATTCCAGCTACTCAGGAGGCTGAACCTGGTAGTTGAGGCTGCAGTGGGCTATGACTGCATCTCTGTACTGCAGCTTGGTTGACAAAGTGAGACTCTACCTTAAAAACAAAACAAAAACACCCTGAATAAAACTGTTAAAAAGGAAAAATAGGGGGGCATGCCCAAGATGGCCAAATAGGAACAGCACCAGCCTCCAGCTCCCGGAGTGAGCGACACAGAAGACAGGTGATTTCTGCCTTTTCAACTGAGGTGCAGACCGACACCTCACACCTCACAGGGCAGGGTACACCCCTGAGACGAAGCTTCCAGAGCAAGAATCAGACAGCAACACTTGCTGTTCAGCAACATTCTATCTTCTGCAGCCTCCGCTGCTGACACCTAGGCAAACAGGGTATGGAGTGGACCTCAAGCAAATTCCAACAGACCTAGAGCTGAGGGTCCTGACTGTTAGAAGGAAAACTAACAAATAGAAAGGACACCCACACCAAAACCCCATCACTATGTCACCATCATCAAAGACCAAAGGCAGACAAAACCACAAAGATGGGGAAAAAGCAGTGAAGAAAAGCTGAAAATTCAAAAAGTCAGAGTGCATCTCCCCCTCAAAGGAACACAGCTCGTCACCAGCAACGGAACAAAGCTGGATGAGGAATGACTTTGATGAGTTGAGAGAAGAAGGGTTCAGTTGATCAAACTTCTCAGAGCTAAAGGGGGAACTACGTAACCAAGGCAAAGAAACTAAAAACTTTGAAAACAGAATGGATGAATGGATAACTAGAATAATCGATGCAGAGAAGACCTTAAAAGAACTGATAGAGATGAAAACCATAACACGAGAACTACGTGACAAATACACAAGCTTCAGGAACTGACTTGATCAACTGGAAGAAAGAGTATCAGTGATTGAAGATCAAATGAATGAAATGAAGCAAGAAGAGAATTGTAGAGAAAAAAGAGTAAAAAACAATGAACAAAGCCTCCAAGAAATATGGGATTATGTGAAAAGACCAAATCTACATCTGATTGGTGTGCCTGAAAGTGATGGGGAAAATGGAACCAAGTTGGAAAACACTCTGCAGGATATCATCCAGGAGAACTTCCCCAACCTAGTAAAGCACACCAACATTCAAATTCAGGAAATACAGAGAACGCCACAAAGATACTCCTCAAGAAAAGCAACTTGAAGACACAAAATTGTCAGATTCAACAAAGTTTAAATGGAGGAAAAAATCTTAAGGGCAGCCAGAGAGAAAGGTCGGGTTACCCACAAAGGGAAGCCCATCAGACTAACAGCAGATCTCTCAGCAGAAACTCTCCACGTCAGAAGAGAGTGCGGGCCAATATTCAACATTCTTAAAGAAAAGAATTTTCAATCCAGAATTTCATATCCAGCCAAACTAAGTTTCATAAGTGAAAGAGAAATAAAATCCTTTACAGACAAGCAAATGCTTAGAGATTTTGTCACCACCAGGCCTGCTCTACAAGAGATCCTGAAGGAAGCACTAAACATGGAAAGGAACAACAGGTACCAGCCATTGCCAAAACAAGTCAAAATGTAAAGTCCATTGACACTAGGAAGAAACTACATCAATAAGCGAGCAAAATAACCAGCTAATATCATAATCACGGGATCAAGTTCACACATAACAATTTAACCTTAATGGACTAAATGGTCCAATTAAAAGACACAGACTGGCAAATTCGATAAAGAGTCAAGACCCATCAGTCTGCTGTATTCAGGAGACCCATCTCACATGCAGAGACACACATAGGCTCAAAATAAAGGGATGGAGGAAGATCTACCAAGCAAATGGAAAACAAACAAGAGCAGGAGTTGCAATCCTAAAACAGACTTTAAACCATGAAAGATAAAAAGAGACAAAGAAGGCCATTACATAATGGTAAAGAGATCAATTCACCAGGAAGAGCTAACTATCCTAAATATATATACAACCAATACAGGAACACCCAGATTCATAAAGCAAGTCCTTGATGACTTACAAAGACACTTAGATTCCCATACAATAATAATGGGAGACTTTAACACCCCACTGTCAACAATAGACAGATAAATGAGACAGAAAGTTAACAAGGAGATCCGGGAATTGAACTCAGCTCTGCACCAAGCAGAACTAATAGACATCTACAGAACTCTCCACCGCAAATCAATAGAACATACATTCTTCTCAGCACCACATCGCACTTACTCCAAAATTGATCACATAGTGGGAAGTAAACCACTCCTCAGCAAATATAAAAGAACAGAAATTATATCAAACTGTTTCTCAGACCACAGTGCAATCAAACTAGAACTCAGGACTAAGAAACTCAATCAAAACCGCTCAACTACATGGAAACAAAACAATCTGTTCCTGAATGACTACTGGGTACATCATGAAATGAAGGCAGAAATAAAGATGTTCTTTGAAACCAATGAGAACAAAGATACAACATACCAGAATCTCTGGGACACATTTAAAGCAGTGTGTAGAGGGAAATTTATAGCACTAAATGCCCACAAGAGAAAGCAGGAAAGATCTAAAATTGACACCCTAACATCACAATTAAAAGAACTAGAGAAGCAAGAGCAAACACATTCAAAAGCTAGCAGAAGGCAAGAAATACGAAGATCAGAACAGAACTGAAGGAGATAGAGACACAAAAAACCCTCCAAAAAATCAATGAATCCAGGAGCTGATTTTTTGAAGAGATCAACAAAATTGATAGACTGCTAGCAAGACTAATAAAGAAGCAAAGAGAGAATAATCAAATAGACACAATAAAAAATGATAAAGGGATTATCACTACCGACCCCACAGAAATACAAACTACCATCAGAGAATAAACACCTCTACGCAAATAAACTAGAAAGCCTAGAAGAGATGGATAATTTCCTGCACACTTACACTCTCCCAAGATCAAACCAGGAAGAAGTTGAATCCCTGAATAGACCAATAGCAGGCTCTGAAATTGAGGCAATAATTAATAGCCTATCAATCAAAAAAAGTCCAGGACGAGACGGATTCACAGCCGCATTCTACCAGAGGTACAAGGAGGAGTTAGTACCATTCTTTCTGAAACTATTCCAATCAACAGAAAAACAGGGAATCCTCCCTAACTCATTTTATGAGGCCAACATCATCCTGATACCAAAGCTGACAGAGATACAACAAAAAAGGCGAATTTTAGACCAATATCGCTGATGAACATCGATGCAAAACCCTCAATAAAATACTGGCAAACCGAATCCAGCAGCACATCAAAAAGCTTATCCACCATGATCAAGTGGGCTTCATCCCTGGGATGCAAGGCTGGTTCAACATATGCAAATCAATAAACATAATCCAGCATATAAACAGAACCAAAGACAAAAACCACATGATTATATCAATAGATGCAGAAAAGGCCTTTGACAAAATTCAATAGCCATTCATACTAAAAACTCCCAATAAATTCGGTATTGACAGAACGTATCTCAAAATAATAAGAGCTATTTATGGCAAACCCACAGCCAATATCATACTGAATGGGCAAAAACTGGAAGCATTCCTTGTGAAAACTGGCACAAGACAGGGATGCTCTCTCTCACCACTCCTATTCAACATAGTGCTGGAAGTTTTGGCTAGGGCAATCAAGCAAGAGAAAGAAATAAAGGGTATTCAGTTAGGAAAAGAAGAAGTCAAATTGTCCCTGTTTGCAGATGACATGATTGTATATTTAGAAAACCCCATTGTCTCAGTCCAAAATCTCCTTAAGCTGATAAGCAACTTCAGCAAAGTCTCAGGATACAAAATCAATGTGCAAAAATCAAAAGCATTCTTATACACCAGTAACAGACAGAGAGCCAAATCAGGAATGAACTTCCATTCACAATTGCTTCAAAGAGAATAAAATACCTAGGAATCCAATTTACAAGGGATGCAAAGGACCTCTTCAAGGATAACTACAAACCCCTGCTCAGTGAAATAAAAGAGGACACAAACAAATGGAAGAACATATCATGCTCATGGATAGGAAGAATCAACATTGTGAAAGTGGCCATACTGCCCAAGGTAATTTCTAGATTCAATGCCATCCTCAATAAGCTACCAATGACTTTCTTGACAGAATTGGAAAAAACTGCTTTAAAGTTCATATGGAACTAAAAAAGACCCCACATTGC